TTGAACAGAAAGATTAAGATGATGATGTAAAATACAACATTCCTCTTCCAAATGACCTAAAGAATTATAGTGCACACAGTAATAAGAGAGTTCATCCATAATCATTGACTGAATATAACCTGAATTATGAGAACCCACCCAAATCATATACATAAATTTTTTTGTAACATCTAATTCTACAAGAATGTGGGCGACAGATGGACAAGAACCAGAAGCCATACTAGCATCCATTTTTAAAGTTTGACCAAACATGGAACCCATTCCAAAGAGAATTCATGGGTAGAAAAGGTAAGGTCGAAGGTAAGAAAACAAAATCTATATGGTAATGATCGGAGCATCAACCTCAATATCCAAAGAAGGTGTCCATTTAACTACTTTCATAAAGCAATTACTCACAAAGTAAGAACGGCGAGTAAAGATCCTACAATAATCCAAATCATTGAAAAGCTTGTTCAATACATTCCTACGGTTGAGAACAGTGACCGAGCAATCACCATTCAGTTTTAGATTGAAAAAAAAATCCTAATGGCTTCAATGGAAGGCCTCCGGCCTAGAAAATTTCCAACTAAAGAAAATTCAAAAGGAGTAGCGAGTGATTGAACTTCTTCCTTTGAAATCAATAACGCCAGCAATCCATGGTGAAAATAAATTTTTAAATCGGGGAAATAGACCGAACAATTAGATGCACCATAAAAGCATCATTAAAAGAAAGAGCAGAAGAGGACCCGTGCAAAAACCCAGGGTCACAAAGAAGGATGGAAAACATCGTGCCGAAAAAAAGAGAGGAACACCGTAAAACCGCTTTAGAGGAGAAAGGGAACTTCCCTGAGACGTAGCAGGCGACGGAGGCCACCCACGCAGCAGAAAATTGCACCGATTAGGGGAAAAACCCTAACATAACAAACATTTATGATAGAGCTTTTTTAACTCGTGTCTTTTTACTTACATTTGTTTTTAAGTCTCACTACTTCTAACCTTCTTATTGAGTAGGTAATTGAGGTGGCATATTTGCATGTTTCTCTTCACTAACCTTTGGCAATTAAACTCTCCATTGTCACATCTGTACAATAAATTTTATTCATCAATACCATCTTTTGACTTCTTACATCTATAGTTTACTTTTTATATGATATGCATCACCTAGTGATAATATATCTCAAGATCACTCTTCCAACCATTTCATAAGAGAAGTTTCATATAGTTCAACTAAATTACATTATATTAATTTCTCATCTATATATGAGAAACATCTTTAACGCACAGAAAAATCTTATCTATTTATATATTTAACAACAAAATCTTTATTTTTATCCATAAAAAATAATAATATCTAAATCACAACAAAGATCGATGTCCCGAATATTAATTTATTAAAATGAAAGGCATATTTTATAAATAAATTTTAATCTGATTTATACATTAAGGAGTTATAAAGTAAAATATAAAAATGAAATTTTATATATTTAAACGAATAAAAATTTAATGGTATGTCTGTAAATTCCCTTTATTTCAATTAGGTAAAATCTTATGAGTTTTCTACTTTCTAAATTTTATACATAGAAAAATCTCAAATTGATATATGTATGAATAAAATTTTCATTAAGCTCAAAGAAATTAATGATCTTTGATATATTATACAATTTTTGATAAGATATGAAATTTGTTTAATTATTTTGATAAACTAATATAAATAAAATTTATATAAATGAGTATCTAATGCACTAATGAACATTGCTCTGGTCAAGGCCTAGGCAGTCAAAGATGTCGCGCTACAAAGAATTCTTCTTGCTGCCAATTTAAGCCAAACTGCGGTCAAACCTCCTTAATGTCATAGAAAAAAGAAATAGCTACTTCCCAATAAGAAGAAAATTGATATATTAAGGCCTTGGTTATTTGATGGAACATAATTATATAAACTTTAAAAATATAAAAATATGCAAATTGTCTGTTTAATTTTTCAGACTATATATATATATATACTTTTTTAAAAATAATAATAATAAAAAAATTAAAATTTTAAAAAAATTTTAAAAAGATTTCTTGAATCTTCATTACCCCCTCATTTGCTCTTATAAGCACCTCTTCATCTTCTCCTCTCTTTCTATCATTTTTTTATAGTTGTGACCTTCCACTGTCTCGAATATGTGACATCCCCTATAAAGCACAAGTGCTCTTATATGTGTAGAATATAAAGTTTTCAACCTCCTTTCTTTTTCCCCTATATTTCTTGTCATTTTATAGGTTTCTATTGCTTTTGATAGGCGGTATCTCTTATCAGAATTCATTGCCCTTTTTTTAGCATGGAAGTTCAAATGGCTGACCATGCCTCTACTAAAACTTCCTTAGCTAAAGTGGATAAATAACTTATTGCCCAAAATGAAGGTCTGAAGAATTCCCACAATTTGTCAAAAACTGACGATATAGTTTTCACAATTACTAGCAATTCTTTGATCATCATCAGAAATAAATTCCACTTCCCTAATAATTTTGTGATGAAGGTGTCAGAAAAGTCTGGTCGAGCCTGTTCTCCTCCAGGATATTTCATTGTCTATGCGTTTAGTTTGCGAGCGGAGCTATGATTTCCAACTTCCATGGAGTTGATTGACATTTCAGTGACATGTGGAGTGAGTTTCTCCCAGTTCTCCTATAGAGTCATATCAATTACAATGGGATCGATTATCTTTATTGAATTTTGTGGAGTAGTGTTGACTCTAGAGTGCTTTTCTTGGATTTGTCATTTTACTTGTTATACGCAGGATCGTATCACTTTTAGATCCAAATGGCTAGACATTCACACCTGAGATCCATCAAAGAGCTGAGCAAATGAATTATTCTTCTTATAGAATGAGTGTAATCTCTTAGAGAAATGGGAAAAACTGAAGGATTTACCCATTCTCTTTCATGTTGGAGTAGAAGATATCTTGAAGATGCTTAACATTCTAGATGTTGACACTCTTCATTATAAGGTACACTATTTGGGCAAGTATGTAAAACAAGAATACTTATTCAAGGTTGGATTACCTACTCAAGCGGGGAGGTCTCATGCAATTATGTTGAAGAAGTTATCCAGAGTTCAAGAAGCATCTACCCACCCTTTAAAGGTTCCTCCTAAATGACTAGTAAATTATTCTGATCCATAAACTTCATCCAAGAAGAAGAAGATGGAGGGGATTTTAGCAGGAATGGTCACAATTCTTCTCCATCCAAGTTTCACATTCTAGAAGATATTTTAAAACAGCAGTGTGTTGGACATCGTTGAGCTGACGACCTGTTCAGTATCCCCTTCTTTTTTGTTATCCTTTTTTACATATTTATAAGGATATGTCCCTAACAAAATATCATTTTATTATTTCAGTTGTTGCGGCGCATGAATCTTGAAATTGGGCTAACTCAGACTTTAAATGATTGCAATGATGAATTTGTGAAGGTCAAATACATTCAAGAAGATTCTAAGCAAAAATATGATAGCAATATCAACATATCAAAGCTCAAACTGTCAAATTGGTGAGAAAAATAATGAGAAAGCATATGAATTAAATTTAGAATTGCCGAAAAATATTGATAGCAACAATGATCATGATACCAAAATATTTATCTATTCAGGAGAAATTTAATGCCATATATTGCTTGCCATAAATTGCTCACAAATTAGAGCCCTTTAAAAATCTCTAAGTTTGTAAGATTTAATTTATGATTGTAAGAAAATAGTGATTGACATATCACCATTTTTTTATTAAAAAATATTCTCCACGGTGAAAGACATAAGGACAATTAAGAAAACTCACACACACGTCACATAGGTAAGAGTACTACTCGAATCCAAGGCCTCTTATGTCTCATGAGGTGTGTGATAGAGAAAAGGGCTGGGACTGATCTAACCAACCAGCAATAATTAATATAGTTTGGACTAATTAAGAGACTAAGGTTTTGTTTGGGACGGCTTTCTCTCTGCTTCTTAAAGTAACTTTCTAGTAGAAAAACATTAATTTTGATACTAAAAAGCTGCTTTAAAAAGCAGTAAGAAAGTCATCTCAAACGAAGCCTAAACCTGCATGAATTCAAGAAAATTTAATACCGTTGTCATGGCATTACAATTACTGCAATTTTTAATTTACAAATTTTAAAATTTAATTGGTCCTTCAATTACTTCTCAGAATTTATATAATCATCACTTAAAATCATAGAGATAATATTTTTACAATTTCGTCAAACTTCTTATCTCATGAACCAATAAAACAAAATCAATATCAACTACAATTTCTCAAAAACAAAACAGAAGAAGTAAACGATGCATCTCACCAGCATTCTTGATATTTGAAAGGCGTCCAGTTGATACTGGTAGGAAATCAACACCTCATGCACGACGGAGCTTACTTATAGGTTTAAAATTTACGTATACATATGTGTATGAATTCCCATTCAAACTAGCTTAAATTGAAATAAATAAATAAAATTTGTAAGGGTCAGTTGATGACAGCCCAATCTCTGAAACTGATGACCGTTCGTAATAATGCCTTGGCGAATTTTGTCATTTCCAAACTGTACAATGGTCAATGGACAGTTACAAAAAATCAAATAAAATAATTCCGAAGGATGCAATCCTTTAGAAAACAAAAAGAAAAACTATCTTATCCGTCTGGCAGTGCTACGGCGTCAAGTCTCCATTTGACAATGCTGCTATCCTTAATATCTCGACTGCTGTGGTGCTCTATTCTCTGTCATTCAAACCTATGTTGTAGCAGGTCAAAAAAAAAAGTCAGATTTATTAATAGTGTTAGCTGCGTTCTAATGCTTTGTTTAAAGTTTACGGCGAACTCCTAAACATGATTCGTGGAAAGCGACGAAAGTCAAATAAGGGCATTGTGCAGACGGAAGAGTAGAAGAGCACGTGCAATATCTGTAGTAGACGAGGAATGGTGCCATCTACCTCCCTTTTCTCCTCTCATCCAGGAACTATATAAAGCAATCAACAGCTCTGCAGACAACCAGGTCCAGGGACAACTAGTTCAGCGATCGCAACTGATATAAATTTACCACGAGCAGCTACTGCCCGGCTCTTCCTCTAAAGCAAACGGACAAAAAACTTCCCACCATGCCGAGCCTTGAATCCATCAGAAAGGCACCAAGAGCCAACGGCTTCGCCTCCATCTTAGCCATCGGAAGGGCGAATCCAGAAAACTTCATTGAACAGAGCACCTACCCAGATTTCTTTTTTCGCATCACCAACAGCGAGCACTTGGTCGACCTTAAAAAGAAATTTCAACGCATATGTGAGTCATCTCAATTCTCTATAATTCAATATGACTAATCTCTTTAATTTTCAGCAAAACTTGCTACAGACGAGTTATAATTGATCAGTTATTCATTTTCATCTGCAGGTGACAAGACAGCAATTAGAAAGCGTCATTTCGTCTGGAACGAGGAGTTCATCACTACAAATCCCTGCCTCCACACATTTATGGACAAATCTTTGGATGTTAGGCAAGAGGTTGCTATAAGGGAGATACCAAAGCTGGGCGCGGAGGCAGCAGCCACGGCAATTCAGGAATGGGGGCAGCCTAAGTCCCGCATCACTCACCTCATCTTCTGCACCACGAGCGGCATGGACTTACCTGGTGCTGACTATCAGCTAACCCAAATTCTTGGCCTCAACCCAAATGTCGAGCGTGTCATGCTCTATCAGCAGGGTTGTTTCGCTGGCGGAACCACGCTCCGTCTCGCTAAGTGCCTTGCCGAGAGCCGCAAGGGCGCACGTGTTCTTGTGGTTTGTGCAGAGACCACCACTGTGCTATTTCGTGGACCGTCTGAGGAGCACCAAGAAGACCTCGTGACCCAAGCTTTATTTGCTGATGGTGCCTCTGCACTTATAGTGGGGGCCGATCCAGATGAAGCGGCCCATGAGAGGGCCAGTTTCGTCATAGTCTCTACATCTCAAGTCTTATTGCCGGACTCTGCCGGTGCTATTGGAGGCCATGTAAGCGAGGGAGGCCTCTTAGCCACGCTCCATAGAGATGTTCCAAAAATTGTTTCTAAGAATGTTGAAAAGTGCTTGGAAGAGGCGTTCACCCCTTTTGGCATTACGGATTGGAACTCAATCTTCTGGGTGCCGCATCCTGGTGGTCGAGCCATTCTAGATCTGGTGGAGGAGAGGGTGGGGTTGAAGCCAGAGAAGTTGTTGGTTTCTAGGCATGTACTTGCAGAGTACGGTAATATGTCGAGTGTTTGCGTGCATTTTGCCCTTGATGAGATGCGCAAAAGATCTGCAATAGAAGGTAAAGCTACAACCGGTGAGGGCCTTGAGTGGGGTGTAGTTTTTGGATTTGGGCCAGGTCTGACCGTTGAAACAGTAGTTCTACGCAGTGTCCCTCTCTAACTGAATTTGCTGCTCATCAAGCTTTGCCGTCATTGTTGTTCATGTATTTTGTTAGAAGTGCTTCTATTGTAAGGCTTGCAACAAATCTTTAATTTTGACTTTTTCTTTCTTTAAAGGCTACTTATGTCATGTCTTTTACTTCAAAAAATAAGGATTATATTGAATATTAATTTACGAATGTTTCGTTTTTATCCATTTGAACACTTTTAAGTATACAATGCTTAGTCTTGGTATATAATTTGGATAATTTCAAAACAATTTTTAAAATTATTACATAACATTTAAAGAATTTAATCTTTGTAAATTTGAACATCATATATACAAGTAGAGATTTTTTTTTAATTCAATTGAGCTTTGATAATATTGGTAAGATCTTAAAAATTTGATTGTCTTTATCATATTGCTGCAATTTTGAATTGGAACCACTCCAATTTCAGCTAATATTAGATCGATCTCTGTCAATAATGATCAACTTGAGATATTTCAGGTCTACGTTAAACAAAATTTATAGACATGGCATCAAAGTTCATCATTTCACTACATATCATTTTGTAGCTATTTTTGATGATTGGATTGAATAATTTAAAATTAAATCTTTAAGGTTGATGTGAATGTAAAATTTTTAAGTTGATTAACAAGAATTTCAACTACTATAAAATTAAACACATAATTTTTAAAAAACAATTTTGATAAAGTCTGAATTTTGTATATTCAAGATAATATGTCTATTACGTTGTGTTTTCAAAGTCAGTAAGGATAACAACCTAGTGGTCTCAATAATAATATTTAAAGATGTAATCAATAGTGTCTATAGATTATCTGCTTTCACCAAAAGGGTGAAAAATGATAACGGTTCTCTGTCTTCACCAGGAGGGTGAAAAAGGACGTCTAGATTCTTTGCCTTCACCAGAAGGATAAAAAAGGACGATAGTTCTCTTCTGCAACTGGTTGGTGAAAGAGAGTTTATAAGGACTTCTCCGCCTTGCTGTGGGGGCAAAAAGAGTAACTTTGATTTAATGTAATTCCTAGAGAAGGAGTCTCCATGGAGTTGATATAGGTCAAGTTTGGACCGAATCATAATAAAATTTGGTGTTCTCTTATGCACTTTAAAGTTTTATTGTTGAAAACACTTTTGTGATAATCATATCTAAACAACTGTATATTTTAGGATCATTGATTAAATTTTTTAAAAATGATTTTTTGAAAATCTAAGAGATTTTTTAAATAATAAATTCACCCCCTCTTAGTTAGCCTTGGAACAGTTCTATAAAGTTTAACAACCTACATGAACATTCATTCTTTACTTCATTTCGAGTTTTCAATTTTTGAGTCTTCGATGCTCCTGGGTCTCAACTCTCGCCTGTCTGGCTCAGGCTTCCACCTTCCTGCCTTCATCTTCTCCACCTCCTAAGTCCTGCTTCTCTTCGGATCCTCTATTTTAATCCTCCAGTGAGTTGTGTGCATTTTGCAACATTTATAAGTTCAGCATTCAGTTCTGTTAGTTCTGACCCAATTAATAAAAGGGAAGGTTTTGAACTTTTGAGTTTTTCAACTATTTGCATATATTTGGAAATATTTTAAAGCATTAAATTGATTGGATATTCTCTAGAATATGTCCCAAGTGTTGCATGTGAATTTTAGTAAAATTTGAGAATGTCACTTTTGGAGCCCAGCGAAACAAGGGGTTCGAGTGCAGCAGCACTGCACTCAGCCAATGCGTTAGAAAGTGACATTGCGGCACCGGCTCTCAGGTTGCTATAATTTTTTTTACTGTAGTAGTGTTTCAATTTGAGCGCTGCAATGTTAGGCTAAATCATATTTTTGTTAGCAACTTATTAAATATTAAAATTTTCCATTTAATCTGATCATTTGCATTCAATTAGCCGACATGCAAATTAAAAAAGAGAAAGGCAGAGTTAGAGAGAAAAAATTCATGTTTTGAGCTGCTTCGGACCATTTTTAGTCATTGGCCATACTGGGAAAGTTGTCTGAATCAAGGTAGGTCACATTATGTCTATCTCAGTTTTCAAAAATACAAAATTTTCCAAAAATTTCTTATTAAAATCATATTTTTGTTAGCAAAAAAATACGTATAACTTTGAAACAGTAAAACTTTCACCGCGTAACTTTTTATATGTTATAGAGAACATAATTTTAAATATTTTAAGTATTTTATGAAAATTTTATACCGAGTATGTTGAAATTTATTTAATTTTAATCGAATAAAAATTAATATGGACATTGAAAAATAACATTATTGTTCAATAAATATCTTAAAATAGTGTTTTACATATTCCTTTTTAATTTGGTCATGTTTTGGCATTGCAAAAATTTACTTAGTAGGAAGTTCAGTTGTCAACCATTATATAATATTGTGCAATTCTGATATGTGTTTAATTTTGCTTTAACTATTACAATATGATGAAATATATGCTTCTGTAATAAAATGTATGTTTATATGATTAAAAATTATCAGCTATGAGCTATAAGAGATTAGAATCTTTTGAGACTATATATATGTTAATGATTATTTTGGTGCCTATAAGGCATGTTCTGGTGGCTATAAGCTATATTATGTCATCTACATGCATGTTATGATCTTATAAGAATAAAACAAAGGCATAAAAGATCAGAATCATTTGAGATTCTTTTTTGGACGGAGATTTGTGATATGAATTGATATGTGATATAAATTACTTGTGATATAAATTATTTTATGATTTATATACATATCATTGTTGTTTAAATAAATTGGATAATTGTTATGCCTTGATTTCTTTTCTCAATGCAATCAATGATTTATTCACTTATTTTTGAATATTTAAAAATATTAATAAAAGATAATTTAAAATTGTTGGTTGTTTGTAGTTTTCAGGATTTGGAAAAGGGAAGGACACTATTGATTAGTAGTTCAAAATCATGTCTAAGTTGATAGGTATTTTATTATTTTGATTTTTGTACAATCATAACTATTTAAATTTTTAATTTTATAATTATTGCATATTGCCATGTGTTGTAGTGTATATATTTATTTTGATAAGATAAAAGAAATTTGGTAAATGAATTTATTTTTCGTAATTAAATATTTTAGTACCTCTATTATTTATAGTCATATTTGAAATGAAATCGGAAGATACTATGAACATTTTAAAATTATATCTAGGGAATTACTATCACAGCTCAACAGAATGGGATCTATCTTGATCGGGTTGAGGTGTAACAAGCTTTTGTGGAATCATAACAATAGTTTTGGAAATGAATCATAAAATAGAGTAATAGGAAATTGATTGTGGAGAGAGCTTATTTGATAAAGAATGATATGACTGCTACTCATGAGATGTGGATCTCTTATAGGAAGATATTTAGTGGCAAGACTTCTAATTGTGGATTTTTTGAAAAAAATAGCATATTTGTACCTAAAGAGTCCAAGAAAGGTGAATAGTCTACACCTATGGTAGCTCCGGGTAGGGCCAACATTGCTAGTTCTAAGAGTTTTATTAATGGAGCACCTATGTGATAGAGTTGTGGTATATCTCATTTTGGTAAGTATTATGGGATAGTTGGCCAGCGTTTCAGATGCTGATAGGTTGGATACAAAATGGCTGAGTGTCGATAGGCAAGATTTGACCAATGATCTAGGCTTAGATTTGAGAATTCAGCTAGACAGGCAAGGAAATCGAGACAATTCCACTTTATATATTTGCTGAGAGTTATACTATTTGAGGCAATGATTATAGTTTGATAGTAGGTAGACCGTCTGGTAGTCTAGAGAGAGTCTGGTAATATTGATGCTCTAGCTCTAGTTTAGCCATGTGTACACAGTTTGACTCAGCAGGAGGCTCGTGATGTGTCAAATGAGATGATAGGTATAGTATGGCTTATATTTTTGATTAGTCAAGTCATATTTTATTTGATTCTGGAGTTAGTCATTGATTTCTTTGTGAGTATTTCTTCAAGTTACTATACTTACCCTCAATAGTACTACATATTTCTCTTTCTATTATCCTATCGATTGGAGATAGAATGATAATTAGTAGATTGTATTTATGTGATATTGAGATGGATGGTAGGAAGTGGACATTTAATTTAATTTTATTACTAATTTCTTCATATGATGTTATTGTGGATATGGATTAATTGAGTGGTACAAGTCTTAGATTGATTGTTTGAAAAAGTGGATTATATTATTTTTAGGCAGTTAGAAGTGTGTGGTTCAGGGAGTTAGAGGAGTAGTATCATGTTTAATCTTTGTTATGAAAGAATATATATTATGGAAGAAGGGTTGCATTGTATTTTTAGCATTAGTTTAAGATAGCAGTATATAGTCTGGCCTTCTTTTTGATGTCCCGGTAGTATGAAATTTTTGGATTTACAGTTAATATAAGGTGTAATAAAGAGCCTATGAATAGGAAAACAGGCGAACCAGGTATATTGGATTACATGATGCAAGCATATGCATAATACTTAACATATATTAAATTTATAGAGATGAATTGCAATGATGGGGTTTTAACAGTGCATGCTTTACTTACTCTTCTAAGATTTTTATAGGATGATAGACTATGAGAATTTAAAGTAGTTTTGAGGTTGGAAGGGTTTAATTTGTAATTTATCTCCTCATTCTTGATTGAGTGGACGTGATGCATATACTCTAAATAACATCAATATTAAAGAGAATCATTAGGAAATATATTTTATTTATATTCTATTAATAAAAATATTTTATCCAAATAGTATTTCATTTAAATATTTTCTTAATTTTAAACTAAGTGATTGAATCTCCACCAAAATTTATTCTTATAGAGTGGGATAAATATTGTAATTGTAGTAGATAGTACTAGTATTTGCAAGTAAACATTCTTCCTCATGAGATTGATATTCTACTCTATTATTATATTACTTAATTCATCACCTATACTTGTGTATATTAAGTAGAGTTTTTTATACTTTTTATATCAAAGAAAACTTAGTATTGTTTAGGGAATGATAGACCCCTAAATCATTTGTATAATTCTTTAGGTTACTCCACCGCCCCCATCAGTAATCAATTCATGAACAATGTGGTTTCGCCCCTAAGCAATCAACCTATGCTAAAACTTCTCTCTCTACTGTCCAATCCATCATCTCTCATTTTTACCTTCAAAAAGAAACATTATTGGGGGTACTTTTCTCTATTATAGGCACTAAATGTT